GAGAGGGGGGAGGGGGGAGGGAGAGAGGAGCGTGGGAGATAGAGAGGGAGGGAGGAAGAGAGAGAGGGAGAGGGAAAGAGAGAGAAAATACCCTAACTTTGAAGAATTGGTTTAGAGAAACATTTGAAACTGTAACAGTACAATGCAATCTTTTTCTTTTAAAACATAAAAATTTGGAATATTTGCATAAATACAATTAATTCAATTGTAAATAATGCTTACCTGGTTTTATTAGCGTCATAAATAAGTTGATTTAAAGGATTCACAGCTTGTGACAGTACAATATAAGCATAGTCAAAGGATTGCTTTACATGAAGAGCACCATACGAACTTCGTCCAATATCATTTCCTGGAGTTAAAGGATCCTCAATGCACAAAAGAGATGGTCGATGTCCATCTATCATATCTCTCTGCACCTATAATGAAAAAATCACAGTCAAGCAAAGAACTTTACTGTATTTTAACAAATAAATAGTAAATGCTTTTTAGAAAACATATTTATTGTAGTTTACCTCTTCTTTTGATATATATGTTCCACCATTCTTCACTCTGATACCAGTCTTCATATAATTGAATTTTCGTCCATATAATTCAAAAAATTCAATAAGGAGAACACCGAGGTTTACAGTGGGACAATAAGCATTTTGTCGTGGATGTAGCTAAAAATCAATGACACTTTGTAACATTGAAATTGAATGAAATATGATCAGGAAGTAATTTATCTCTATTAAGGTACCTGTAGAAAGCTAATTGTCATCAGAATAAGACTGTATGACGAAATTCCACCAGTAAAAACTTCGTTTAGGTCACGTTGTAGCAGGAACTGTTTCAATACTAATACTAACTTCGATAATACAGGAAAACGACGTTTAAAATCCTTGATAAGCTCTGCTGACTTCACTCCATTACTCATGTTAAAACTGATATCCACTTTCACATCTGAAGTTTTATCAGTTAACTTCACTATTGGCACCTACAAAATACGGAAGTAAGACCATGAAAGAACCAACAATTCTTTTCCAAGCCATTCAAAAGCATTTATATAAAGATATCTCTTTTACTTTGTCAATGAAAAAAATTGGAGGAAAACAAAAACATTCATTGAAAGATTTGTAAAAATATTATAATTCAAACAATCATGAACATAAAACAATATTACTTCAAGCATTTTTTTATTATTTACTTCTGTTACCAATATTTTTCAGAAAGCATTGCAAACCCTGTATCAAATAACAGAAACAACTTACCGATGCTTTATCTAAAACTTTGAGTGAGAGAGGCTCAGCAATATTGTGTTCCAGAAGTGACTGCTCTAATGTTCTCAAAGGAAGATTTTCCCATTTACCAATAACCACTAAATCAATGTCACTGAAACAATGTGTCAACAGATTAGGTTGTGTGAAACATTTGCACTCACAAAACAAGAATTATTTAAACGTATATTATAAATAATGGTCTTCAACAAATACAAAATTTAACATAAAATTAAGAAAATTTACAAGTCCACAGAAGTTAACCCAAGTATGAAAGTTTTCATTTGAAATATGAACCTCCATGTCTCAAAGCATCAACTAGTAAGATATTCTATTACAAGAACTCTAAAATAACTACACTGAAAAGTAAGGGGACGGGGTGTCAAAAAAAAGCGATAAAAAAAGTATCATTTTGTTTCTAATAATTGAATATTTAAAATAATACTGTTTTAATTATTTAAACATTATTCTTTCAGTGCCTGACAAAAGTTATTATAATGTCCTTGCTTTTTTAATTACTATTATTAAACCTGTTGCATCGTTTGGGTTTTTTTTGAGCGACTGCTGGCTTTTTTATCATCCATTTCTTTATCTCATGCGCTACGCATTTATAATTTTGTGACTATTTTGAGAACATTCATCTATTAGATTTTACATAAAACAATAAAATATTATTTACACTTTGGTTGCTACAAAAAAGTGTGCACGTAAGATGTTCGAATCACTTTTGTCCTGCCTTGTGAAAAATCTCAACAAGCCTATATTTGCATGAAATCAAACACGATAAAAACATGTTTGGACTTGTAAGAAAAATAGATTAGTACTTGCAAATCTTCTTATCTACATAGTATACAGAGTTCCATGTCCCTTTACTTTGCATTGTACAGTGTTACAGAATACATCTTTCCTATGGTGTGTGATCTATCATGGCTTCTAGACAATCGGGGTACTCAGCAAGTTTGACACAAAATGACAGGTAGAAGCAGTAAATTTTGATGAAGACATTTGTGATTATCAAAATTCCTCCGATTACAGGAATCCTACAGATGAAGAAATGTCCCCTTAAAGTGAAGATCATGTTTCCACAAGATGATGACACAGGACACGAAGAGTGAACTTCTGATCCTCCAGGGCAACAGAGGGTTTGTTGCTCACAATATTATTCTTTTGACCCCTTACTTAATTGATCACTTCAACAGTGAGAGACGAATTATCTGCTTTTATGTTGTTTTTTTCACCATCAAATGAGAATATTGTTTTGAAAAATTTGAACACAGAAGGTCTTCGTATATATAATGAAAACTGGAGAGACCTGTATGATCAGTACTTTTATTCTTAGCTCGGTTTCTTGATTCTAGCTGGTGTTTTCAAATCCTACAATGAATCTACAGAAAGTTTATGATATGAAAAAGGTAGAACAACAGATGAAAGTTAAACCATCTATAGGAACATTTCAAACAATCTAACCTCTAATGTGAGACAGCGTAAAAAAAACAACAACAAACTGAGCAAATTGTTCACGATGGTGGCAAAAGATTCTTCTCCTATATACGAAGACAAACTAACTGAAAACTGACCCACCTATGATTGTTCTGAACGGAGATTCTGTGATAACTGATCTAATTGATATCACAGAGTGCTTTTTGAATGATTTTGGAAAAGTATACACCATTGACAATTATTGATGAGAAATATACTAGAATTATTGAAAATATTGAATTTCAAGCAGCCCAGATAATGAGCAGACTGAATGAAAGCTCATCCACTGGTTCTGATGGCATTCCAGCCGACTATCTGAAAGACTAAACTACAACAAACCCCTTTACTGAATGAAATATTTAAACAATCATTAGCATCTGGAAAGTTGCCTTCTGCAAGGAAAAAAGATGTCATCACACCAGTTTTCCAGAAAGGAAACAAAAAGTTACCATATAACTACAGACCAATAAGTTTGACAAGCACAGTGAGTAAAGTCATGGAAAGGATAATTGTTCAATGGCTTTTAGATCATGCATTTGAAAATGATATCATCCCTAAACAACAACACAATTTCATTCCAGGAAGATCCACGACTACAAATTTACTCCAGCCGCGTACTTAGATGAATGGACCAAAGAATTGGATCAGAAACAACCAGTTGACATCATTTATCTAGATTATGCTAAAGCTTTCAATAAAGTACCACATAAATGTCTCGATCACAAACTCTCATCTTTGGATATACGACGTAAACTACCGAGGTGGATTTAGGAATATTTATCCCACAGAACACTCCAGGTGGCGATTGGAAACACACATTTAAGACCTCGTGCCGTTACAAGTGGTGTCCCCCAAGGTTCAAGCTCTAGGCCCCATACTTTTCATCCTATACACTTGCAATCTAGGTGATGATCTGTCTTCCATTTGAAACTGCTGTGTGGACAACACCAAACTTCTCTCAAATCCACTAAAAAAACATCAGATGTTACAAAATGACCTCAACAAATAGGTGAAGTAATCGTCGTCGTTGCCTCCAACTCCAATAAATGTACGGTACCTAGAAAAAATAATCCAAATCTTAATTATAACATTGAAAATCACATCCTCTACTCTATGATAGAACAAGATGATCTCGACGTTCTTATCACTCAAAATTTGAAATGGGATAACCAATTTGCTGCCATTACCAAAAGAGTCAATAAGCTAAAACATTTGATCACAAAGGCATTCTCTACATGGCGTCCATCTCCGGTACAACTGATGCATATGATGTATATTAGACCTATACTACAGTATGCTAATGTGGTTTGGTCCCACATTATCAAAAAAGATAAAAAAAACATATTAAAAAAGTACAAGGCAGATTACCAATATCCCTAGAGAACTACGTCAATTGGATTATGAAGGAAGATGTAGCGAAATATCACTTCTGAACAGAGAGGATAGCAGTGATATTATAGAAACTTTTAAAATCTGGAATGGATAATATAACATTCCTAAATTAAAACAACAACTTCACTAAAGACATGGAATCTAGACTTAGAGGACACACAATGAAACTAGTGAAAGAAAGGACAAGGACAAGAAAATGTTCTCATTTTATTGTAAACTGAGTAATAAAACCAAGGAATTCACTTCCTGCATACTGCATACAAAAGAAAACCCTGAACACCTTCAAGGAGTCTGAATACCCAAAATTTTATATTTATATTATGTAGTTAATTATAACATTTTTATTCTTCAAACGTGATTTATTATATAACTTCATTACACCATTTTAAGATGTGTACAACAGCTTGTAGCTGGCACCATTCATACATAATAATAATAATAATAATAATAATAATAATAATTTGCAGCTATTAGATAGGTTTGAGATCAATGGGGTGAAATTTTGCCTATTCTGTACAACCCAGATGCATATGTGACAGTTGATGAAAGGTTGGTTGCATTTTGAGGTAGATACCTTCGATACCCTAGATATTAGGCAATATAAGCCAAATAAGCCTGCATGTTATGGAATAAATTTTTGGATTTTATGTGATAATATTGTATCTCACGTGTGGAATATTCAGCATTATCTACGGAAACCTTCTGAAAAGAGAGAGAACAAATTACGGCATGCGTATAGTAATGGCTTTGTCTTACAGACTGTCTTATGAATTGAATCAAATGTTACTCGATAAAAATATTACAATGATTGACACAAAAATAAAGGTTCTATTCCCTACACAACTACTACAAACAAAAGATGCACCCAAAACAACTTTCAAATTTGCATTGACATTAACACCAGCTTTGTTTCATACTTCAAGAAAAAACTAACAAATGTGTTGTACTGCACAGTACATTACATATGGACAAAGTGTGTATGCAAAAAAGAAAGAAACCTATAATAATACTTGACTACAACAAAACGAAAGGAGCAGTCGATACAATGAACAATGCAATTGTATGTTATACAACAAAAAGAAAATCTAACCATTGGCCACATAGCGTCTTTTATAACGTGATAAATATAAGTGCTTACAATGCCTATGTTTTATACATGAAAGTTGCTGATAACAAGTCAAACATTTCAGAAAAAGGAGATGCGTTTTAGAAAATCTGGGGATGTCATTGGTGAAACAACAAATAGAAAGAAGAAATTACTTTCCTAGAACAAAAGCAGCAAGCAATGTAATTGAAAAAATAAAATTTGCAACTGTCGTGTTTCAAGGTCAGCAGTTTCAGCAGCCCAATCAGAAAGAGGATTTATGCGAGAAAACTGAAAATAAGAGAAACAATCTTATAATTAAAATCCATTTTTCATTGTTTTGGAATAATTTTATTTTGAATTCACTGTTCTTTCCTATCTCAATGACTCTTTACAAATGCTTCACTCTCAACATTCTTTTCTACTTCTCAGAAATGTGCTTTTATGAATGCACTGATGTGAAAGTTTTTTCTTTTCCAATAAATGTGTATTTTCATTTTATATACATACATCTTATGTATTAGCCCCTATATCAGTAACTAGCAACTGTCAAGTCATTTTGACACAAACGTCCTAAGTGTGTAGAGAAATCAAACAACGCAGCAGGGTAAAAATGTGATTTATAAAATTAAAACATTTGAGGGGCATATAAAAATGTATTAACACCACAACAAAATACAATATGTTTTGAGGTAGTTGTGTCACATGATTTAACATTACCTGATGTGGTCATTATTTTCCCCATTACTTAACATCTTTTAAACCTTATCTCCATTAGCTGGGGCTGGTCGGATCACTTCTCTCCAGCTGTACCTATTTTGCGCAATATACACTACGACACCAGTCTGCTACATATCTTTCCTCATTCTCTCCACTTTGGACAGCCCCAGGCTTGTTTTCCATTCTCTATTGACTCAACTCAGTGGGTCACATACTCTAAGTCTTCTCACAGCACGCCGAAACTACCAGTCACCTTTCTTGAAGTTTCTCTACTATCAATCTCATATTTACAGTTCCTCAGATCACTTTATTCCTTTCGTGTCACTAAAAATCCACCTCTTCATCTACGCTTTGTGCAACTTTTGTTAATCTCTTTATATGTTATATGTTTATGTTATTCTCTTATGTTCTCAACATATATGTTCTCTCTTCTTCGTTATCCAACATACAATACGGAAGGCAGCACTACAGTCCCTTTAGGATGTATTGGTATTTGGTGGTCACACAATACTCCTGCTGCTCTTTATTTCATCCAACCCCTACTTATCCTATTATTTACTTCCTCGATTCCAGTATTTTCCTTCAGTACTGATCCCAGGTATTTGATTCTCTGTTGTTACCACCTCTTCTCTGTCTAGCCATATTCTTGTGTTTCCACTCACTTTTATCTTCACTCCCCATTACTTAACATCAAATTCTTCAATTTTACACGTTTTATGTTCTGAATGATTAAAATATATTAAGAATTTGCTTCCAATTAAATGAAAATAAATTGTGAAAACACATTTTGATGTTTTGACACTACTTTTTCTCTATTATATATAATCTAAATTGATCAACATATTAATTTAGAAAATAAAACTTCATATGTTTGTTTGTACCAACCTTGTAGGAAGATAAAGGCCTGTTCTAAAACTTCCAAATATTTCAACTCTAGCTTCTGGCCACAAACTTAAAACAACTTTCTTGATTCGTCTAACAACATTTACACGCAATTCATGCTCCTCTGGAGTTGGGCTCATGTACTGGTAGAAATCTTCAATTTCTTGATGCAGGCTGAAAATCAGAGGTATTCATAAATAACTTTTTTTTAACCTACATGTAACTTTCTTTTAAAGAAATATATGGAATATTTTTAGAAATCCATGTAAAAAAAAAAAATGTTTAATTCCAATATTTTTAAAAACCCATAGTAAAAATGCCCATTCTTAAAGGCTGGCATATAATACTGTTTGAGACCACTAGTCAAATAGTACAGCTTTTCAACTTTTGCAATCCAAGAACCATTTAGACTCTCGGGAGAGAGAGGAGAGGAAAAAAAAGTAATATGTATATGTGTGTGTGTGTGTATGTATATATTACTATATATATATATATATATATCATATATATATATATTATATATATATATATATAATCTAATGTTATTAATAATAAATCTATATGAAAATATTAATGCAAAAAATTAATAAACAATAGAGGTGAACACAACACTAATATAAGCAGTACACAATTAAGTTCCCATTATCGCAGACCAAGGTCGAGAAACATTAAACTAGTAAAATAAGATCAAATGTAAGTATGTTGTAATAATTGATTATTTTTGAAAATGCTATCTTCACTGACAAACATGTTTACAAATTCCTTCATCACAAAGAAATCATCATGTCAAATAAAAATATACTTTTTAAGAAACATTCATATCGCATTCACATTGCTGGGCAGTTCAAATAAATACAATATAGCTTCAATTAATAGTTTATAATCAATTAGGAATTGGATTTAGCAAACTAAAAAACAAGTGAATTTCAGAAGCATACTTTTGGTCAGTTTTCCAACCAGAACAATGACTTGTTATTGATGGACCTGTGAATATTAAAATATCTAGCACTGTCAAACATTACATATATTAACAAACATGACATGTTAGTTAAAGGTAATTCAGTAAAAATTCCAGAACTGCTCCTTTTTTTGATTTTTGTATAGTTTGGTCATCCCTGACTTTTCTATTAAATAATTTAAAATAAACTAGCATACATAAGACAGGCTTTTGTTAAAACAATTTCCATCAACTCAAAATTATGAAAGTTTAATGAAGAGTAAGATAAAATGTAAAAAATACATAGCATTATGACTAAATTCCCCAAATCCATTAAATTCTCTCATGAACAAATTATAAACTGAAAAGAAATACTTCAATGTTCTACAATCCTTCACATTCAGAGAAAAAAAAAAATTATTCATATGTTTTTTGTCTTCAGTACTGCACATTTGTGGTTTTCCTAATTGTGACATAAAAAAATCTTCATATGAAATTATCATTCATGTTTATAATTTCAAACCATCAGATTCACCGAACACAAATTGTATGAATTAATCTTGCAAAAGTAAATTGCTCTCTCAGTTTACTATTGCAATTAAGTACTTGATACACATTTTTAACATTATATGTTACATATCTGAAAAAGATTCCTATTCCTAATATTGTTTTAAAATTAAGTTTCCATTAGGAAAATACACTCAGATTTCTGAAATAATTAATGTTTTCTCATAAAATTTAAATAAATGTTAATGATATTGAAGGAATTTTTAACATGATTGCTGATATCTGTTGAATTTCAAACAATTTCCTCAACAAAATCCCAAATAAAGTAAATATGAAACTATGTTTACAAGATTGATATTTCAAAACAAATATTACTATTACACTAAAATGGCATTTCAATTTTCTCCAAATACAAGTTCAAAGAATAAGTATGCTTTTTCCCAGCTTTGCCTTCGCATTTATATGCTTTTCCCAGCTTTGCCTATCACACCTTTAATATTTTATATTCAGTTTTCCTTAATAGTAAAGAGAAACTATTTCTGACAATACTCAAACATTAGGAAAATTAATTTAATCAAATTACCAATAGTCCCCATGTCCTAATATATGAAAAAAATCCTATAAGACAAAAATACATAAAAATATCCCTCAAAGGAAGCAAATATTAACAAATTTATAACTGCTATTAATATTATTTTCAAAATGGTGCTTATAAAAATAATGTTTTTTAGCAGAACAAATTGATTAATAAGAAAAAGAACACAACGATATTACTAACAATTAATGTTTAAATAAAAATTCATTAACATTTGAATGTCTGCTTACTAACTTACTTTTTATCAGAATATACATTCAAGTTTTTTTACATTTTCAAGTTTGGTGAATGTAACAAATTGTTAATGAAATAAAACAAGGAATTGTGATGAATTAAAAAAGTAACAAAATCAATGCCACTGTCAAAAGCATTTGAAATAAGGTAATTGTCACAAATAATATGTACAGGTGAAAATTTGTCACTCAAATATTTTCACCAACTTTTACAACAAACGAATGCCCATATCAAAAACACTGCACCTTCTCGCTTAAAAAAAAAACAAAAACAAATTCCAAAATTTCGAGTCAACAAATCTTCAAACATACCCAATGACACCTTGTCCGTAAATCTTATTGGGATGTCTCCAAGGACAGCCTCCGTGATCACCCACTAACGACGCGCGATTGTGATTCAATCCATAGGTGCTTGCCCTATTCTCTCTTTTCCTTCGCGTACGATTGTAATAAGTGTTTGCATTGGGTGTCACACGATTTGATTGATCGTCACAGTTCGTTACACTGTCAAATTGAATGTAATCACCGGTTTTCGCACTCACACTACCATGAGTCATATCTGCGAGGTTCATGGTACCAATGCCCTTTTGAGCTTCCCAAATTCGTGTCCACAACTCTTTCGCAGGACCTTCTTGCTCTGGCTGAAACCAACCAATTGTTGGATCCATCAAACGCACCGTGCACTAATGCATGTGGTTTTATGTCCTAAAACCACGCAATGTTCCGCTTCTGCTGTGCTATGAAACAGCTCCAGGCGAAACAATTTGAAGAAAACTTAAATGCTGTAGAAACTAATAATAAATCTCTATTCATGCATCATTTCTCCGTAATCATAGCCGGTCCTCTCCAAGCCCACACCACATCCATGCACACTTCGACACAAGATGACGGGTACTACATTTTCAATTGATATTCTCTGTAGATCGAAATATTCAAGTTTACTTTTTCAAGATTTAAAAAATTAATATATTGATAATATAAAATAATTTAAAATGCTCTTATTATTTCAAGTCTGTACTGTACTAACCCAGAAGTACATTTAAAGACATAATGTAGACGTGTGTAGTATCTTAAAAACAAGGGATATAATCATGACTCTATTGTTTATCGAATCGTTGAAAGTCGTTATTTACTTTAGAATGTTTCGTATTTTAAATTACGGCCGATGTTGATGTATCTGCAGGTCTACATTTAAGTACAACAATTCATATATTTCACAAGATGAATAAATTTTAGTGTTACAGAGAGTAACTAAATTCTACATGCATTCATGGACCAGCTTCTCAGATTTTCTGGTTCGTTTCTGATAAGCAGGCAAGACATGCTTAATAATTACGTATTTCTGATCGCAGAAATGAGGATGTCCAGGAAAATATGTTGAAAATCATATTGTTTTATCAGAAAAAATTAATATTTTAGGGAATAAGTCATTCATAAATTTAAATAATGCTTTATTCACAATCGAATTAGTCGTAATTTAAAAAAGGAAATTGTATTGCATATCAGTAACCTGTCACTTCAAAGGTAGATATTTGCACGGAGAGAAGCGTCTTTGCAAAACTGCGTACTTCCAAAATATTGAAAAAATTCAGCGCGAGCTCTATAATACTGGGCCTATCTTGTTACGTAATATTACATTATTTACAACTAATGAATAGGACTGCTTATATTGTAAGAAATACAGCTTACCAGGTCGGTAAGGGGAATTTTTTATTCACGTACCTTTTTCACAAAGAAAATATTGATGACATACATGGTAACGAAATATAAAAGTTTGCTTTGATTAACTTTTATATTTTGGGGAAACGGAATACAGGATAAATCAGGTGTTTGAAGTTATATTTGGGTGTTTATTTTTTTGGCGCGTGAGGGCCTGGTAATAGAATATCTCACGTTTTTTCGCGTCTATCTCGGTCGAGCCACTAGATGTCGCATGATCGCAATCGTATCGAGCAGCGCTGGCGATCATGCGATATCTAATGGCACGCCGAGAAAGGCTCGAAAGGTGTGATATTCCATCGAGAAGATAGGCTTTCACGTGCCAAGAAATAAAAAAGCCAAGTATAAAATCACAATATTTTCAGGGTAATGTTATTTCACGGCTATTCAATATTTTTACTGGATTTTTTAGTATTAAATTATATTAAAATATGTTTTGACGAGTGAAAAATTATTTATGCAAGCAATTATTATTTACGCAATTATTTATTATTGAAGGTTTTTGTTACAAAAATACACAATGTAGAATTTGATAAATCGTCGAATCACGGACAATCTCATATGAAATTTCTTTCAACAAATCCAGTTCGGCTGCTTCACAAGGACTAGTTCAACCCCTGTGAAGTGTCCTAAACCCTATCCCAATCCCAATTCTGGCAGCTGAGTAGTGACGCAAGGGCGCGTATTGACTGCGACGAGACGTGACAGATATGATATTACACATATGAATTAATGGAGGATTACTCTGGAAGCGCAAAGCGCTCAACGCCCCGAGGGCTTGGAAACGCGTTGCGTCAATGAAAGACGCAACAACCACAACAACAAAAATTACTTTCCAATTCTGGCCGCTGAGTAGTGTTGCAGGGACGCGTAGTAGCAGGCGCGTACGCGGAGATGCTACTTGGCAGTCCTCTTGACAACTGACTGCGACGAGACGTGACGTTTATGACATATTGAAATATTAACGGAGGATTACTCTCCCGCGCTTATGGTAATGGAGGATTACTCCGAAAGCGCAAAGCGCTCAACGCCCCCAAGAGATTTGGAGACGCGTTGCGTCAATTGAAGACAAAAAAATACAACAAAGTATTACCGAACAGCGTGAGCAAGATTGGTAGATTCCAATTAACCCACTATAGGTCGAGAAGTAAGCGGAATGTTCACTTTCAGATTTTTCTGGCTATTAGTCGGTGTTCAAGTGTTTTGACGTTGTGAGTGCTAGTAATTATTGTTATTTGAAAAATTAATAATGAAAGGAACTCGATTATAAGACTGATAAATTCAGTGCGAGGTAATACCAGAGTGCTCAAGAACTGATGAACACGCTTGCAAACAACCTAACGGGTAAAGTGTAGTTTTTTCTGCGAAATTCTGCAACCAAACTATTAATATAACAAACAGTTTACCGCTGTGCAATTAAATATTAGTTCTACCTATTATTCAAATTTGGATTTAAGCAAAATAAACGCCTCGAAATACGAATAGGTTAATTAGTTGTGGTAACTAGTAGGCCTACTTAAAAAGCAGGATTACCTGAAACTAGTGAAGCTACAAAAGTCCATACTTTCTTGCCTTATTTCGAAAGTGCGCAATTTTCGAAATAACAGAGTTCAACAAAATTAAAATCTACACCATTCTTTTAAGCGTCCCTTGTTTTATCCGTGGAAAACTGTAAAGCGATTTTTGAGAAAATATCATTTTAAATTGCATTAATACAGAAATGAAATTACGCGAATTTGACGTTTTACAAACAAAGTAATTTACTACGAACAAGATTTATCAAATTTTTCGATATCATGTCCCGACCATAGGCGTTTTGTCGAAAAATTACCGAATAGGTGCGGGATAACTCTACTTCCGAAGCATACTTTTGGCGAGAAAGTGAAAATAGCATACACTATTTTTTGAGTAGGAGTATTGCGTGGATTCAAATCAAAGTTTTGTAACTCACAGACCCAAAGCGAACCCTCTTTTTTGTTGCGAATTGGCCGTCTACGACCACGCGGGCATACACACGCACTTACCGAAGCTCAGTTTCACTTACACCGCAGCAAGAGTATGTGACTCCTTTTGGGGGGGATCAGCATTATACTGAATCAAATTTTTATCATTCTGGGTTGTTAGTCCAGGGGGAATGGACGATGCAAAGATGATAATGAAGGATGAATGGACGATACACGCATACAGACATACACAAACACATTCATGCCTGGGGCGGGACTCAAACCCGCATATCCTTCTGTCCGAGAATGCAATTGCCTTAGTGATCTAGGCTATCGGGATCGACATTATTATTATTATTATTATTATTATTATTATTATTATTATGCACACCCATAACCTATTTTGTACGTCACCATGGATTCGCACAGGTTGAGTAAGATGCCACTATCTATGGCAAATGCATGTGACTATGTTCAGAGCTGTTCTGCAACTAGACAAGGTTCTAGATGCTGTTTCAAGGTTAAATATCGGTCAAAAATCAAATCAAGGAATTTTGCCGTTTCATAGTACGTCAGTTGAACACCATTTAACTCCAGATCTGGATCTCTGCACATTTTTCATTTCCTACAGAAGTGAACGCAATTGGTTTTAGTTGCTGTAAATGAGAAATCTATGTTTTTCGCGTACTGTACTAATTTATTGTGGTATTTTGCATTTTGAATTTGACCATTGCCGGTGATTTGGCTGAATAAAGTACTCGTATATCAATGTCATCTATAGACAGAAGTGGATTTACGCATAGGCACAGTAGGCACGTGCCTACGGCGGCAAATTTTCAAGGGCGGCAAATTTTCAAAGGTGCAAAATTTTCTTGATATTTTCTAAAACAAATTTAGGTTCTCTAAAAACTATAACAACATATTTTTATTTTAAAAATGATTTAAACGAGACTAAAGCCGCCCCTCAACCTTCGATTTATAAATTAAGTTTGAATTTCAAATGGGTACTTTACAATGTTACAGAATACATGAAAAGAATTTGCCAACGACTTCTGATTGGTTGATTGAGCACAAAGAATTACATTCTTAGAGTAAGGATTTTGAATTAGCTAATCAGAAATCGCTGACGGATTTCGCCATGCATTCATATTGCGCTATATAGACAGTAGCGACATCTATTACTTATTGAGTTAGTTCTAGAAGACGGATCTGGAAATAACCCTTTTTTTCTTTTGATACAATTGTTGTATATCGTTTATTGTAAGAGTTACTGTTAGACATGTGTTATTAGACATGTGGGAAACGATGGTACACCAAAAGTCATTTTTGGAATTCCTTCCAAACACAGGCCATAAATCAAAGGAGATGTTTGACGCTGTCTGTAATTTTATGGAGATTAACGAACTGGACATTAATAATTGCCGTGGTCAGTCCTACGACAACGCGTCAAATATGTCCGGTCTTTACACAGGTGTTCAAGCCCTTATTAAGGATGTAAATGCTCTAATTGAATTCTGCTCGTTCTTTAAATTTAGTTGGTACAAATGCAGCTGAATCATGCACTAGACCATGTACTTATTTTCTACTTCCACAAAATTTATATTATTTCTTTAGTGCATCTACATCAAGGTGGGACATACTTCAAAATTTAGTAGATGAAGTATCCAGTACATCCTCTTTGAAAAGTCTTTCAATTACGCGCTGGTCAGCTGGAGATGATGCATGTCAGGCTCTAAAACATCGTTGGCAAAATGTTTTAAATGCCCTTCAAATTATATCTGATGATTCTACGCAAAAACCCTCAACGCGTGCAAGGTTTTATTGTTGCTTTAAATTGACGTGAAACTGCTATTATGACCGAGGTTTGGGGATTCATTTTAGACCTCTTGAATGCGTCGAACAACTGCAAAAAGTCGATATCGATTTAAGTTCCGTCTTTGGTATTTACACTTCGCTTATAGAACTTTTAAAAACGAACAGAGACAATTTTGAATTTTTTGAAGAGAAGGGTAAGAAGCTGTCAAATACTGAAACGTACGAATCGGAAAACAAAAGGAAAAGGAAACGTAAAATGCAAGTAACGAGAATGCAGCAGAACTGACCGCACGAGACAAGTTTAAAATCGACACTTATTTGGTTATTGTTGATAAATTACTTGCAGAATTGAATAAGAGACTTGAAGCGTATAAAAATGTATATGACAAATTTAAGGCTGTCATTGAAATAGAAAAATTATCTTTGA